GGAAGCATTTGTTCAGGCAAATCTTGTAAATCTTGAAAAAAAATTAACATATACAGATATTTTGAATGTGGAAGGGGAACTAAAAACTAAACAAGAACTACAGATCGGGTGTTGATTTATCGTGGTGGCCATATATGCAGATGCAAACAAGATATGAGAAAATTGTTAAGATATATGGCTTTTATTAAGAGCGACAACATTTGATCAAATACTGTTAACAGTAGATGAAAAGTTAAACAAGAAATTATATTATTACTGTTAGGGATATACACCCTAGCAGAACCTGCACGGCAGTCAGGCAGGCAGGCAAATATGTGAGATAAAAGTTCTTGTAGCTTACACTCAGTAAAACAGATACACTGTGCTAGTTAAATAGTTTATTCCAGTAATAGTTTTAGCATAGTCAAACAGTCCATATATCATACACTAGTTCAGTCCGTCCGGGGATTATTAAGTTGCAAAGTCCAGTGTTGAAAAAGAGGTCATTAAACTTACAAATATCAGTCCAGTAATATATCTCTTCGCAGTACAGATATGAAGAAATCAAACCTCCTTTCTTCCTTCAGCAACAGCAGAGAACACGCAGTTAACAATCCATCATCGTCAGCAAGCAATCCAGTAAGCCAGCAATCAATCCAGTTCTCTTTCTCCCTCTTATGGCGATTTACAGCCACACCCAAAATTACATGTTTTGCAGTTAAAGTGACACACACTTAAACTCACTATCATAGTCTATATATATTATTTTACCCAAACTACCTTAGGTAACCTATGTTATTCCTAACAATTACTATTATTATTATTGTGGAATTATTACTTGTGGAAGCAGCTATTTTGCCACACTGTCCACACTGATAACGCAGAAGGACAAACCTCTCTTTTTTGCTACCTTAACATGAGGAAAAATTGTACAATAGAAAATGTTATCAGAAGAACATGAGATATAAAAAATGGATATTGTCAGTGTTGCTATGAACATTAGGGCAAGACAAAACGCTCAGAGCTGCATCAAACTGTGAGATTAGTAGCTATTAAGTTTAATAATAAATGAATTTAATAATAAAAAGGTAATGTAAAGCTCATTTCCCACCTTTTGCTCAGTGATGAGGATACAGATACAGTGGGTTTCTAATGAACTGCAATTGTTAAGTTGTAATCTGTGTCTTCTGCATTTTGCATCTCTGACCAATCTGTCTTCCTCAGTTTCCCTTCCCCCATTTTAAATTTAGAATTTCAATTTCAGTTGTACATCAACCCATGCACTCTGTGTCTCTGATGATGTGAGCTGCAATTAGGTTTCTGCCTCTTAATTTATTTGTTGCATTGCTATCTGCTCCTAAATTCTATGAAAGAATGACATTTCATTAGGCACAGTTAAAAAATTAGAATGGCTAAACTGGAGCTGTTTTTATTGGCATTCTTTTCAGATTCAGGGATGGTTTTCTTCATCACTGCCAGTCTGAGAGAAGCAAGTTAGGATGAATCAAACTGTACAACTAAGCTACGGTTTTCCTTTTAACATTACAAACCTCTAAAGCAGCCATTGGGTGTGCCAGTGGGTTTGCAGACTTTTGAAAATCATACTATTTCAGAGGATCTATCTGACTCGAAGAGCTGAAGACAGATTAACAGAGTTGGAAGGGACCTTGTAGGTCATCTAGTCCAACCCCCCCCCAAGCAAGAGACCCTACATCAGTTCTGACAAATGACAGTCCAATCTCTTCTTGAAAGCCTTCAGTGGTGAACTCCCACAACTTCAGAAGGCAAGTTGTTCCATTGGCCAATCGTTCCCACTGTCACAAAATTTCTCCTTATTTCTACATTGAATCTCTCCTTGATCAGTTTTCATCCATTATTCCTTGTCTGCCCTAGAGGTGCTTTGGAAAACAGTTGGACCCCTTCCTCTCTGGCAGCCCCTCAAATATTGGAACACTGCTATCATGTTTCCCCTGATCCTTCTCTTCACTAGACTAGCCATGCCCAGTTCCTGTAACCGTTCTTCATATGTTTTAGTCTCCAGTCCCCTAATCATCCTGGTTGCTCTTCTCTGTACTTTTTATAAAGTCTCTAGTTGTCCACTAACACTCCAAGGGACCTTTCACAATAAGTGCTATTAAGCCTGGTTTCACCCAGTCTATATGTGTAGTTTTGGTTTTTCTTACTAACAGACCCCAAACCGTTAGGATTGGCAGCTATTTTTCTTCCACTCTTGCTCTCAGCACTGGCTCTCCACAGGGCTGTATGCTGAGCCCCCTTTTGTACTCTACACCTACGACTGCACTCCCTCTTGTCCCACTAACTCTACAATAAAATTTGCAGATGACACCACGTTGATGGGACTCATATCAGGAGGAGACGAGACGGCCTATAGGTCAGAGGTTCTCAGACTGGTCTTGTGGTGCAAGAGTCATAACCTTACCCTGAACATCAAAAAGACCAAAGAATTGATTATAGACTTCAGAAGATGCAAAGCAGAGCCTCTCCCACTATACATCAATGGAGACTGTGTGGAAAGTGTTCATAGTTTTGAATTTCTAGGAATTCATATTTCCGACAACCTTACTTGGTCGGTCCACACTATGGCCACTGCAAAGAAGGCCCAACAGTGCCTGCACTTTCTGAGGTTGCTGAAAAGGAGTGGTTTGGGTGAGAAGTTGCTGGTTACTTTTTACTACTCTACCATTGAGAGCATTTTGGCATACTGTGTAACGGTGTGGCATGCTGGATGCTCTGCAGTGGATAAGAAGATGCTCCAGAGAGTTATAAACACAGCACAAAAAATCATTGGTTGCTCTCTTTCTTCTTTGGAAGAGATTGTGAAGACCAGACTCCTCTCTAGAACACTAAAAATCTCCACAAACCGTTCTCATTTTGGACATACATAACAGGGAGGCATTATAGGTGTCTTAAAATGAGGACTAATAGATTGAGAAACAGGGTTTTTTTTCTAAAGCAATAATTGTCTTCAATCAAACAGTGTATTTGTGATTTAGTCCTATTATTATTTTAATTTTTAAATATTCTGTAGTGTGATTGTGATGTGTTTGGGGCACTGTGCTGGAGTAGCTTTCAAATTTCATTGTATTTGTGGAATGCAATGACAATAAAGCTATTCTATTCCAAGTGTAAGACTTTGCTTTTATCTACACTGAATTTCATTTTGTTAGATAGGGCCCAGTGTTCAAGTGTAGACATAGACCCATTAAGGACTAATTGTTGGGTACAATTTGTCAGCCAGTTACGAATCCATCTGGTGGTGATGCTATCTATCCCACTTTTTTCTAGCTTACCAAGAAGTAGGTGGTGGTCTATTTTGTTGAATGCCTTGTTGAAGTCTAAGTATATTATGTCCACGGTATTTTGCTGGTCTACTAATTCAGTCACTATCTTGAATGAAATAAGATTGGTTTGGCATTACCTGTTTTTAAAAAACATATGCTGACTTCTAGTTATTACTCTACTCGTTTCTAGATGTTGGCAGATCTGGTTTTTTATTACCTTTTCCAGTATCTTCCTGAGTATTGATATTAGGCTGATTGGTGTGTAGTTTCCTGGGTCTGTTCCCCCCACCTTTTTTTTTTTTTTTTGAAGATGGAAACCACATCAGCTCTTTTCCAGGCCTCGGGTAGGTCCCCAGTGCTCCAGGATTTTTGAAAGATGTGGTACAGCGGTTCTGAAATAACATTTGCCAGCTCCTTTAGAATTCTGGGATGTAATCCATCAGGTCTTAATGATTTTATTCATCAAGATCAGACAGATGTTCTCTTACTATTTAACTTCCCTGATGACTCTCCGCATTATGAATCAGATTCAACAGACATTGTGAAAGTTGAGGTCCCCATGATGGAGAAGACAGAAAATGTTTTGAAAAAGCCACCAATAATTAGTAGTACTGCTTCACACTATCCTAGTGAGACCACACTTAGAATACTGCATCCAGGTCTGGTCACCACAGTACAAACAAACGTTGAAATTATGGAAAAGGTGCAAAGAAGAGCAACTATGATTATAAACGGTCTGGATACTAAATCGTATGACGATCAATTGAGGGAGCTAGGATAACAAGACTATTGTCTCGTTTAGCAACCATTTAAGATTATGATGATACATAAAAAACCATTTGGCAAACAGTCTTTGCATTTACAACCATCACATTGTCCCCCGATCCTGTGATAGCCATTAGCATGCTTCCCAACAAGACAAACTTCATGTAGAAGGTAGAAATAAAATCAAAGGTATATTGATTCACTTAATGA